TATACAGGGTAAAAAGGTTGAGGGAGGAAGGATGAAATGTATAACAACAGCAACTATTGCTCTTCAGATAACAAATCAATTTGTTTATCACCTACAGTCAAAGTCCATTGATGGATTAAGAACTCTTCCTCACGGTTTTTTCTATCAGCAATAAGTTTAACAGTACCCGATACGTTATTACTACCTTTAATATGAAATTTAATATTAACGTTACCAGCAACTTGATTTAATTCACCATAAACCCAAGGGATGATACCATCGAATTCTATATTATCACCTAATAATTCCCTTGTACGTGGAGACCTACGTAAATAGTATAATGTATTTACAACAATTGGTGATTCAGTCTTTTCATAATTGAAAATTAAAGCTAAAGATGACCCAACAGCAATCACAAAAGCAGCAAAGCCAATTCTTTGTTTATACTTATCCTTGGTTGGATCTGGTAATTCTCTTTCGATTCTTAAAGGTTTTTTCAATTCATCATTTACATTCTTATTCACTACATTGGTAGCAAAATAACGAGGAAATAATATGCTAGAAGAGCTAATTCTTCTACTTACTAAAATTCTAGTTGATCTAACTAACAAAGAGGAATTCATCACAAAATATATACTATTATGATGGATACAACACTTGAGATTAGTTCAACCGCAGGTAGAACCATTAATACAATACCTTTACGAACACTCAAGAGATTCTTTTTAAATTTGTTAAATCCATTTTTTAAAATATTTCGAAATTTTAACCCTTTGCGATATTCCATCCATATACGTCAAGATGTCTAGTCTTTGATTTGAAAAATTACGAAATGAATTCATTCGATCGATTTGATATTTAAACTATTTAATCTTTAAATGTGGTTAAGGATAGTTAGTTTAACGAACTACTTTTTATTTCTAGCTGTTGATTTATAGTTTCAAGTTGAGTATATGGGATAGGATAGGATATCTAAGTTAAAATATGGGATTTGTATGTGTGATGTTATATTTTATATGAAAATTAGACTAAAATAAAAATGATAATATTAAAAAGCTCTCCCATTTGTAGATATGTTGGGAGGTTTTTGTTATACTAACAGGACGTTTTTAAACTATATATGTATTTATTTATAGATTGGGAAAGCTATTCATCTGTCAGTCGATCTGGTATTAGTTTCTACGTGTTTAGCAGGGATTAAAAGGAATACTGGATTGACTCCAAAGATAGAGAGATTTGAAAACCCTACAGTTAGAGAATATATGGTAAAATATTTAAATTTTGGAGAATCTGTATATGATTATACTGTAGCTACATGTGGATCTTCATCGAATTTTACAAGAAAATGAATTTACTCAAGCCAATAAATATAAATAGCATCCAACTAAAATTAATCGTTTCGTAAATTGTAAATAGTATATATAATAATATCCATAATAAAGTTATAACAATCGTGAATCCGCAGCATTACTATTTTTGGAGTTCACAGATAATAATCTCAACACTTCAGATTTTCATTTATCTAATTTGTTTATTTTAATCTATATCTATGTCAATAATTAAAACGTTATAAAAATTTACAAATAAAATAAAAAATTAAATCAGAAAGAATATTAAAATTTATTGAACGATATGATAAAATTATGATAATATTTAATAAAATAAAATCAAGTCATAAAAACATTTGGTCATTTATATTGGTCGTTAAACGTAAATCGAGAAAATAAATTTAATAAAAATAACAAACGTTAAAATACAATGAGTAAGGCATCAACAGTATCATTATAATCAATAATGATTCATAAGGGTAAAAAAAAGAAAAAAGTAAAGATCAAACAGCTTTATCAATTAGATTAAACACCAAAGGTCTTAATATAGTCGGTAGCGTAAACCTTTTCTCTTTCTCTTCTATCATTATCCCAGTTCAAGTGGTCACCCATGATCTTAACTGTACCATTAACAGCATCTAAAGCTTCCTTAGCATCCAAGAAGGCATATCTGGTTCTTCTCATTAAGAAATCTAAAGCAGTTCTGGTATATTCGTAGTCCATAGAGTACTTCAATTCGGCAATAGTGTATGGGTATCTGAAGGAATCGTAACCGACATGAGCGTTAGAGATGGATTCATTTTCTCTACCAGCTAAGTTAACTGGCAATTTGTTTTCATCAGATTCTTTCATCATTTCACAGATAATTGGAGATCTAGTACCATAGTTATTAGCCAAATGTTCAGCCATTGGGGTAGAAACGTTGTACTTTTGAGATAACAAAGCAGCCAAATTGGCATCCCAGTTTTCCGCACCAGCCAATTTCAATTTTCTAGTAATACAAGGTTTAGCATTGAACTTACCTTGCTTAACGACTTCATCGATAGTTTCTTCAGCCATTTCTCTGTAAGTTGTCCATTTACCACCAGCAATAGTAACCAAACCGTTATCAGAAGTAAAGATAAAGTGAGATCTAACAACTTCTTGAGTAGCACCACCCTTTTGAACTCTTGGATCTTGAACCAATGGTCTAATACCAGCCCAAGCACTTAAGACATCTTCTCTCTTAACAGGGAACTTAATGTAGTGTTGCAATTCCTTCAAAATATCTTGGATATCAGCTTCAGTGGCAGTTGGGTTTTCTGGGACGGTCTTCATTGGGATATCAGTGGTACCAGCTAAGACCTTACCTTGCCATGGCAAGAAGAACATAACTCTACCATCAGCAGTGTTAGCATCTAATAAACCCATTTCGGAAGGACAGTAGTAAGAAGGCAAGATAATGTGGACACCAGCGGAAGGAACAACCATGTTTGGATTTTGAACAGCAACCTCTTTAGAGATGGATTCTGGAGTGATGACGTTTAGAGGAGTCTTCAAATTACCAGTTTCAATTTCCTTTTTGAACATATCAGGCAAACCATTCTTGTTGTTATCCATTTGTAGGATAGTGTCACTGTAAGGACCAGTAGCGTTGACAATGACCTTAGCCTTAATTTGATAAGTTTCACCAGTTTCAGTATCTTCGACAATAGCACCAGTTAATTTTTGAGTCTTTTCATCCTTCACCAATTGCTTAACTTCCATATAGTTCAAGACAGTAGCACCTTTTTCAATAGCAGAGATAGCCAAAGTAGCGTTCATTCTCGAATCATTGAAAGAACCATCATGATAAACCAAACCAGCCTTCAATTTGGAAGAATCCAACATTGGGGCAATTTCACAAGCAGAAGATTTAGATAACAAATAAGAACTCTTTAAGTTCTGAGAACCAGCGAACAAATCATACATTTTAGTACCGACATAAAAGTAAGGAACTTGCCAGTATTGATAGACAGGGATCATGATAGGTAAAATCTTACATAAGTGAGGAGCAGTGTAAAGTAAATGAGCTCTTTCGTTTAAAGCTTCAATAACCAAATCCAATTGAGCCTTTGATAGTTGGAAGACAGCTTTTTCCAAATATCTAACACCACCGTGGGCCATCTTGGTAGATTTTGAGGAAGTACCACTAGCGTAATCATTCTTTTCTACCAAAGCGACGTTCAAACCTCTTGTAGCAGCATCGATAGCACAACCAGTACCAGTTGCACCACCACCAATGATTAAAACATCGAATTGGTAAGTTTTCTTAAGCTTTGACAAAAGGTCAGTTCTGCTTGGTAGTCGCACATCAGTGGTATCTACAGGAGAAGGCTTTGAAGGGTCATTGTAGACTGCATTATTTGAACTGTTATTAGTTAATAAAGTTGAAGCAGTTAAACCTGTACCGACTGCTAAAGCGGAATATAGTAACTTTTTTGAAGTAGTTAACTTCGATAAAGTACCCTTTGCGAACATTGTTTTATAATAATTGATGAACAAAATAAAATAAAATAAAATATATAATTTCTTTTCTTCCTAAGTTATTAAGTATATTATTCTTTCTGGTGAATGATTGATATATAGTATTATTGGGAAACGATGTTTCTTTATAATAGAATAAGTACTCAAAAAAAAAAGATTAATAAAATTAAGCAGCTTGTTAAGAAGAAAGGAAACTTGTCGTAATTATAAAGCTATAGTTGCTAAATAATAGTATTTCTTTATCCTAATTGTCTTTATAGAGTTTAGTAGTTATGATATAAGATATAAATAAATATAAAAGGATATGATAATTATACAGAAGATATTAGAATTGAGATCCCAAGAAAAAGTTTTGAAAATGTTTCCCTTTTATACGATTTCAATTCATTAATGTGGAATGGAAGAAGAAGGGGGTTAGTTTGAGGTTGATGGGGGATTAGAACCAGGATTTGGGTTTAGGTTTGGGTTTGGATTGGAACTGGGATTGCGATTGCGATTGCGATTACGATTGGGGGGTGGAGCTGCTGCTGCTACTGGATGGGGGGATGTTGAAGTACAACGAGAAGGAGAGAAAGCAAAAGAAAAAAAATTTTTTTTCTTTGTCAGTTTTTACAGGAAAGACGTTTTTTTTTACTATTATTAATTTAGTTCGGTTTAGTCTAGTCTAGTTTAGTTTTAACTTCATGTTTTTCATAAAGTTGCCTTCCCAGCATTTCATTAAAGTTGTCAATAATGAATGAAACAGTAGTTGGCAGAACAATAGCGTGTACGATGTCGATGTGAAATGTACCAGCGATTGAGATTGCTTGATCGTGTAGTGGCGATAGGTTATTGGAAGAGAGATAGAGAGCGTTTGTGTGTATGTGTATGTGTAATAGCGTAGTACTATTTTAAGAGACGACTGAAGATTCCATACTCCAGCGAAGGTAGGTGCCGAAAAAAGCAATTCTGGGGTTTCTGCGCCGAGCACAGAGCGCTAGAGGAAGTATTGCAGCGGCAGTTATGTGGAAAGCAAAAATCGAAGGAGCGGGATGTAGCTACTGGTTAGAACATCATGTAGGAGACTGGCCGGCTGGGAGTGGCGGCGGGGGCTTGAGAGCAGTGGAGGAGCGGAGGGAGACAGAGAGAAGTTGGACACAAAAGCGTAAATAAAAAAAAAAAAGAAAAACAAAAAGAAAAAGGAGAGAGAGAGAGAACACAAAAAGTGTGGAGACAAATAACGAAGAAAGGAAAAATAGGATACCGGCTGGTTATGCTTTTGTTTTATTTTATTTTTTTTTGTCTTTTTTGTTTTGTGGCCCAGAGTGGAGAGGAAGGACAACAGAAGAAAGAAAAGAAAAAGCAGTTTATTGTTTAGTTTGTGTCTGTTTGGTTGGTCACCGAGAGAACAGGTCGTGCCAAACTCAGCTGGAAAACAATCCAAAACCAGGTCAACTCGAAAGCACATCTGCGGTTATTTGCCCACCAGCAAACACAGAGACACAAACTGACATTCACACTCACAATGTTACAAAAGTGCAACTTCAACTGCAACTGCTATACCAAAAAGAAATAAGAGTAACAGTAACAAGATCAAATATAAAAATAAAAAAAATAAAAAAAACCGCTGACAACAGGAAAGGGCAACCCTGTTGGCCAGAAAGATTCAAGCAGGAACCTCCGCAGATCGACAAAAAAAGGCTCTTCTCTTTCGGTAATCATTCCAATTTTGATACAAATTAGGTTTGTGTTCTATCTCTCTCTCTCTCTCCTTTGCCACTCTCTGCTTTCTCTGATTTAATTCACCGTATTCTCTATTTGCTAAACCACCCTGTCGATGTTGTTCCCTGTCTCTGACTGATACGTGTATTTTTTTTCTCTTTCCTATTCTGGCCTAACCCCACATTGTCGCTTATACAGTATCGTAAAGCATGCCTTCTGAAAACAAACTTACAATGCTCTATGGCGCTATCTACTGGTCGTACTTCTTGAAACTTCCCACCCCTCGGATCACAGATTCCGTGGCTGTATTTCTCTACACCCCCGCGCCCCCGATCCCACCTCCCCACCCCCTACTGAGCGACCACGCATACACCACAACAACGTTGGCTGCTGCTGTTTCACTAAGCCAGCTCCTCTGACCAATCAAATTTTAGGAGGAGTATGCATGCTTATTTCACTACCGGTTCCCAACTAGCCTGATCTAATTTGGTTCGGTCTAGTTCAATCAGAATGAATTTAATTGGTTTCGGAGTTAACGAAACTGAACTCTCACAAAAAAACCACAAATATCCGTATCATTGCACACTGGTTCACGAATGAATATAATTGATCCGTTCTCTCTCCTTGGTTCCTTCAACTATGCAAAAGTGTCCTATTAGCTATTTATTAACCAATCTTTCTTACTCTTTTGCTCCGTATCTCTGTCCGTTGTATAACTTATTTCTGTTCGCGGCTACTCCAGAAACCAATAATATTCATTCATTCATCATTCATTTATTCATACGTCGTTTGTTCCTTCTCGTTCGGATTATGTACCTTTCTTTCAGCAGCATAACCCATTTGTATCCAAAACTGTCTTATTTGTCATTGATTGATAGATTGATGGATCATTTGATTGTGTTTCTCTCCCTCCAATACCTGTAATATCGTTGGGCACCAATCAAGCAAACGGGAAAAAAAATATTAATATGGCTTAAAATACATATATACCATTTCGTATTTCGTTAACTCTTTATTCTTAGGTATCAGGCTAATACATTTATGGTTCGTCGCCTCTTTCGACTAGAGCGCTCACCTTCACCCGCAAATTTCTTTCTTCCCCCCGACTTGGAAATTTTTTTTTATTATTGACACGTGATGTCCGGGTTACAGTGGTGGTACTTTAGCTAATAGATTACGATATTCCTCTACGTCTCTAAACGCTACCGCACACTCAGAATTGAACTGAATTCGTTTGTTTATTTGTATATATATATATATATATATAAATATATTTACATATATAGGTCTTGTTATAGTTTATCCACTCAATCGGTGGATTGTTTTTGGTCATTAGTTCTTCTCGATAGGGAGGCTCCGAAAAGGTTTCCGATTCTCGCTTATGATATGGAGATTTGTAGTCATTCCTGTTCCTAGTCTTGCAACTTTAAAAAGAACTAACTAATTAAATTGCCATTCATCTCATTATAAAATTTACTCGTTGATACCTTTCTTTCTTGGTCTCTTTAACTTCTTACGTATAACAAGCATTGGTATCGAAGAAACATAATTTTGTAACCCTGATGGCGATAATACGACGCTTAACGAGCAACATAATGTCTTTGGTTTTAGCCCATGGATCATTTCATTTAATAAATGTTTCGGATATGGATGTGTTAATGAAATCAATAATATATCTATTCGATCTATCACGGCACTACTGCAATCCAACAGATGCATAACATGTTTCCTGATCCGAAAAATATTATCATATATCCTAGTATCAGTAACACCATGTGTATTGTTACCTTCCCAATGAACAACATACAAGGTATCACCATTATTAACCAATGCACCTAGCACATATGCCAAAGCATACGTAGATTCACTGGTCAAGTCTGTATATAAAATATAAGAATCTCCTTCCTTACCACTAGAACTAATACTCGTTGAACTATCTTCTTTTTTACTTATTAGCTCCATAGCTTTGACAAATCCACCTTCCATCTTTTCGATATGAACGTTATCATTCCTTAAATTTTCAGGACGACTTAAATAATCAGATATCCATTTCTTGCTACTCTCCATAATGTCATTTATAGACATACAGTAATTTGGTAAAACTTTTGTACCCAAATCAAACGTTATATCTTCATCGATATCATTTTCATTCTCGATATCACTAACTTGCTCTTCATCACTGATTTCATCGTCGTCATCATCTTCTTCTTCTTCTTCTTCTTCTTCATCTTCTTCCTCATCATCATCTTCTTCAGCACCATGTTTCTTCTTGTTCAACCCTTGCTGATTCTTTTTCCTTATAGTACGTAATCTCATCGATGGGTCTCTTCTTAACACTGTCCATTTTAAAAATTCTTCATCACGAACTCTGCTGTTTGCTCTGCTTCTAGATCTTGAAAGGCTTGCTCCTGATCCATTTCTAAATTCACCATTCCTCCTCTTACTTCTACCTCTATCATTTTCAATTTGTGCTGAATCAAACTGAACACCACTATTATTTATTTCATTATTCTCTTCAACATCTGGAGACTTATATATCTGTGTCTGAGCACCATCACTGGAATGTAACAATATGCTTCTTTGATTAACCATTTGAATATCAACTAACACCTCCTCAAGTTTAATCTACAATTTTAAATATCAAATTAACAAGATGGCTTTCCCAACACCAGATAAAACTAAAATATTAATATATTATATTATAATTTTCTAGGATTACCTAATTAATATCAACCTAGATAGAATAGTTGAATAAAATCTGATACAATTAAAGGTTTTCACGTTTAACAAATAACATAAACTTAAATTCTCAAACTCTCACACTCATTTTTTTTTCACTCTAAAGTCTCTTCTGGTTCGTCAGCAGAAATGTTTGTCTGATCCCTCTTTTTCAGTAGAAGCAAGAAAAAAAAAATCAAGAATTGTTGCAAAAAAAAAAAATGGACCTTGATCGAATCGAATGAAAGAACCGCTACAACATGGATGACACGACAGCAATCATTTTACTGGAGTTATATGATATTGAAACTGATACTTACAAGATGTGAATTGATGTAATGATATAATTTAATAGAATTAATAAAATTAGTTAAATATTTTCATTTCATTTCATTTTGATTGGTTATTATATACATTTTCATAAGTTATAGAATTATATTAGTAAAATGGATAAGTTATGTTATTGAAGGGAGGAGGTGAAGTTATCCAGCATCGTATTGAGTTGAGTTTAAATGATAAAAAAGGGACACGATAAAATAAAATATTAGAAACCTTCGTTAATGGTTTTAAATTAGATAATATTAGGTTTGTGATTATGATAAGACGGAATTGAATTCAATCAGTATCTAATGTAATTATAGGGCTGGACCAGCTGCAATGACATCGTCGGTAGCTTGATCTTGATAGATGGTGAAATTTTGAACAAATAATGAACCTAATTTCTTAACAGCTTGTGAATAAGTAACATCTGGATCACTCCATGTCTTTGATGGGTTCAATAATTCACTTGGGACGTTTTCGACATTCTTTGGAATTGGCAAGTTGAATACTGGCAATGTTTCATATTCTTCGTTAGCCAAAGAACCATTGTGGATTGCATCCAAAATAGCTCTTGTGTACTTCAATGGACATCTCTTACCGCCAGCTGTGTATGAGGCACCAGTCCAACCAGTGTTGATCAACCAAGCGGAAGCTTTGTGATGGTTCATCTTATCAGCTAACATTTGAGCATATTTCATTGGATGTAATGCTAAGAATGGTTGACCGAAACATGCAGAGAAGGTTGGTTCTGGTTCAGTGACACCTTGTTCAGTACCTGCCATCTTTGATGTGTAACCAGAAATAAAGTGGTACATAACTTGTTCTGGAGTCAATTTTGAAACAGGAGGTAGAACACCAGAAGCATCACAAGTTAGCAGGATCAAATTAGTTGGGTGTTTATCAGTCAAACATGGAATCTTTGCACTTTCGATGAAGTCAATTGGGTAAGCACATCTTGTATTTTCTGTAATTCTGCTATCATCATAATCGACAACATGAGTATTTTCATCGTAAACACAGTTTTCTAATACTGAACCAAATTTAATTGCATTGAAAATTTCTGGTTCTTTTTCTTCAGTTAAACCAATACATTTAGCGTAACAACCACCTTCAATATTGAAGACACCATGATCTGACCAACAATGTTCATCGTCACCAATCAATTCACGGTGTGGATCGGCAGACAAAGTTGTCTTACCAGTACCACTTAGGCCGAAGAATAAAGTGACATCACCATTGTTAACACCTTGGTTAGCAGAAGAATGTAAAGTTAAAACGTTGTGATAGACAGGCATTAAGTAGAACATGACAGTGAAAATACCCTTTTTCATTTCACCAGCGTATTCGGTACCTAAGATTACCATTTCCATTGACTTAAAGTTAATTTCAATAGAAGTTTTCGAAGTCATATCTTTGGTTAAAGAGTTGGCATAGAATGAACCAGCATTCCAAATGGTAAAATCAGGTTCACCGAAATTTTCTAATTCTTCAGTGGTTGGTCTAATTAACATGTTGTTCATGAATAGGGCGTGGTATGGTCTTGCACAAACAACTCTGATTTTAATTCTGTAATTTGCATCCCAGCCTGCGTAAGCGTCGATGACGTACAAGATTTTTCTAGTGTTCAAATAATCGATTGCTCTTTCTCTGTTGATGGACCAGGTTAATTCTGAACATGGTTTGTTGACAGGACCCCACCATATGTTATCCTTTGAAGAAGGTTCTTCGACAATTCTCTTATCCTTTGGAGATCTACCAGTTTTGACACCTGAGTAGGCCATTAAAGCACCAGTGGAAGATAAAGTGGTTGAATCTTCTTTCAAACCATCTTCGTATAATTCAGCAATTGGGGGGTTTCTTTTGATGGTAATATCTTTGTTGTATAAACATTTCATGACATTATCTAGTTTAACATTTGAATTACTTTTCAAATTTTTAATAATATTTTCTCTTTCATTTAGAGAGTAATCTTCTATTTTAGTTGGAGCCATTTTTGTAGTTGGGTGCTGATAGATTTAAATTTTGAACTATTTCTTTTATTTTTTTTAAAAGTTTCCAAAAGTATAATTTTTGTTTTTAATTGTTTGTTTTGTAATATTTTTTTTTTTTATTCTTCTTCAGTGACTAAAAAAAAAAAAAAAAAAGAAGTAAAAGTTTAGAATATGAGAGGAGTGTGTAATTTTATTTCTTAATTATAATCAACTTAATTGATATTAATTATTGATGGATTACTTATGATATTTCCAACAATAGAGAAAAAAAAAAGTTTAAAGAGTAGATATTGAAACAAATTTGGAGTAATTATTTCTGGAAAGTGATGAATTCAGTTGGCGTTTATATATGAACCAGAACTGGATCGATGTGCTCTATAATTGCAAAAAAATATCCTGAAAATAAAGGGTTACACTAAATGGAATGGTCTATAATTTGATCCCGGAGATAAAAGCACAAAACTGTATAATGCATGTATGTATGTACGTCAAGAAGAAAAGAAAGTGTAGCCCAAACAAAAAAAAAAAGGGAATTCTACCGAACAAGCGAGACCCGCCCCGGAGATAATGAACTATCCTGGAGGATATTTTAATGTGTTTTTATTCGAATCAATTTAACCGCCCAGTAGGCAGGAGATGTGGGAGAGGACGGAGCAATGTGAGAGAAATGGGGGAACAGCTAAAAGAAAAAAGAAATAAAAATAACGAGAACGAACGTCACTGCTCAATTTTGATTTTCGAAACGGAAAATTAAATTAAATTGAACTAAATTAAATTTTAAAAAATGAAAACAATACAGATAGTTAATGGGTTACACAAAAACAAAAACAAAAACAAAAACAAAAACAGAATTTCAAATTCTATAACGTAACGAAGAGCGGAGAGTCAGAGTGAGAGTCAGCGAGAAAAGAAGTGAAGCAGCGGGTACATCCCAGAGAGTCAGCCAACTTATTGTTTCGCACAGTGCTATGATAACTGGCAGAGTCCCGGGGATATTCAAGAAACGTAAATACAATTTCATACATACACACACAGAGAGAGAGACAGATACGGAGACAGACAGACAGAAATAAATAAATAAATAAAACAGGGGGGGGACGACTTCTTGTCTACTTTCATTTGAATCGACATGACCGTCAGTTTCGCTGCGGCTGTGTCGTAGAATGGTTCACCTCTCTTGCGGACACGGCTTCGAATCGGTGGTACCTGAAACCGGAAACGTAGCGAGACGAGTCACTCTCTAATGGAGACGGTCAGCAGTTGGAGAGCGACGGTCCAGGCGAGACGAGGGCAGCCGGGAAGGAGGGGCAATGGAGGAAACGAAACTGGTTCTACGCTGCGTTCAAAGTGAGTTGGGTGATGCAGTTGCAACGGGGTGGGGAGAAAAAAACCAGGGGGGAGAGGGAAGAGGGAAGAGGAAAGGAAAGGAAAATGAGATGAGACAATGAGAGAGAGGGTTCCAGAATCGGTTTTCCGCAGTCGGGGTATCCCGGCGATGTCTCAAAAGAACGAACAGATTCAGTATTGCTTGCTTAATGGTCGAATCCCGGCAGAGAAACAAAACAAAAACTGCTGTTAGTTCTTCATCTCCTGGTTTGGTCCCACCCTCCCTCGAGAATAAGATGAGTCTAGTCCAGTGTGTATGTCAATCATGAGAATGGCAGAGAATGCTCCTACCTCTCGTTTGAATTAGTGGACTGATACGATTTCAGATGATCGATCGTTAACGAATGGGGCAGAACAGGACAGGCAAAGAACAGAAAAGAGGTATGTGTTGAATTGTATACATAAGCATTTATCTACCCTCCGGGGTTCAGACTCGGACGATTCACTTGCACTTGCACATACACAGTCCGCTGCGTGCTTTTTCTACCTGTTCTTTATTTTTGTCCCCCCCCCCCATGAATATTTTTGAACTTGTGCTTTTGGTCTCATTTTTAGGGGTACGTTGCACTTGAGCCATTCCCAAGATACCCACGACTGCAAAGCCTTTCACCTTTTGGGTTGATTTGGTTGGTTTGGTATTATGTCCCATCCCGGAGATCTTCTTTCACTTGCGTATTGCCAGAGACATACATACTCACACTCATTGGATTGTTCTTGTCCCCGGAGGTCTCCACTTCCCAACCACACTTCTGATTATTATTGTTGCCTTGAGGCTGATTCGTCCCGGAGGAAATAAATAAATTAGCATTTTGATTCGATCGAGTTTCAGCCCAATCCAATTCAGTCCCGGATTCTATGGCTTCAGTTGGCGTCTGGTCACGAGACGAGGTGATACCCCCACCCCTAGCCCCACCCCCGAAGAAATACTCGAGTCCTGACAAAGATTTCGATTTGTCTTTTGAGTTCCTGCCAGCGGCTAATTCGTATTGAATTACTTGTCTCTAAGAGTAACACACAACATCTTTCTCGATTCTCTTCCTGGCCCAGTATCTTCTCCCTCAACACCAGCCAGATATAACCAGATATATTTTGTCATGGTAACACTTTCAGTTCCTTCTCTTGAGAAAGTTCAACGCACAGCCTGACGTCACCCCAACCCAACCCAACCCCAAAATGACAACAAGTACAAGAAACTCAAGAAGGATAGGTTCAATCATTAAAAGAAAAAAAATTATACATAAGAAGAAACCCCCACTACATCAACAACCCTCAACTGAATTGAACAATATCTTTAATAATACAAAATTTAAAGGTTTTAAAAAAAGGAATAAGCATGTGCCCACTACTGCAAATATTTACAGCACCTCAAATAATCAATTAAGTGTATCAAAGTACTCTCCTTCTCTACTCTCTTTACATAACTCTCTATATGTTTTTAATACTATTGTAAGATCTGGTTCTCTATTAAAGTTTGATCACGTTTGGCACATTTTACATTTTCAATTGTTGTCACAATTTCAAATTTATTGTTTAGTTGTTGATCATAATGAAATGACAAAAAATATTATTCTCTACAAAAATAATAATAATAACAATAATGCCAATATTACTCTGCCCACTACTTTTGCCAAAATTGCAATAAACTCAAATTCTTTCGTCCATCTCTATGGCAACGTCAATTGGTATTTACATTGGAGACCTTTATAGTAGTTTTAAATTTTATACAATATTTGTATCTTTGAACCTCAATTGATGAATTTCGTATATAAATTTTTTTTATCTTTTAAACACAACATATATCTACATATAAATATAAATATATATATAATTGTATTAGTATGTATATACATATAATGCTAATTTATGGCTAGTTGTCTTTTACTTTCATCAATGGTTCGAAGATAATTCGAGATTGCAAATACAAATCTTGTACTGAATGTTTTACTACCTTTTTCAAGCGCTTTATTCTTCATATTGCTATCATCGGTAACTAAAACAATTTGAAATCCTTTCATATTATGCATTTCTTGCTCTTTTCTCTTAGTTTCAGCCTTGATAACTGCCTCTATTACAAATTCATCAACATGTGACCTCCAGGTTATTTGTTCTTCAAACTCCAAATGTTCTTCTATATGTGTAGCTACATTACCAGTAAACCTTAGTGGCAATAATTTGCCTTCGCTAAATAATTGCCTTAACGTTATAATAGCCCTTGTCGCAGCTTCAACCACATTCTCGTCCTTAGATTTTCTCAAAAATCTTAATTCTTGAAAAGTGGTCAAACATATAGAAAATTTTAATATACTATTAGTAGCAATCTTATAGACATGTGCAAAGTGTCTCAACCAGGATGTAGCGTCCAAAATGAAATATGTATCTTCATATAACTCCATTCCAAACTTCCTCCCAATATCATCATATATCTCTTTGTTCCAAAACTCATCCACGCTGTCGTATTCAGGATCAAAGCATTTATTAAATAGCTCTTTCTCATTCATAGGATCACTAGAAGCAGCATTACTACTACTACTATTATTACTTAGAGGTCCTCCATTCACACCTGTATCTTGATTGATAGACCATGTATTATAAAATGACGTAGAAATCAAATCACCATTTTTGTCAAACGAATAATAATCAGCATGAATGCGTTTATATCCAACATATTCAAAAATGTTTTCTCCATAAATCATGCTTAATAATGGAATTGCATTAAAATCGGAATTGTTTGAATCAATTTCTTCAAAATTAGAAACTAACATATCATCAAACATAATATCATCACTTTTAGCCATCAATTTAAAGGAATATCCAACTAAGTGAGAATTAACTCCTAAACCTCTTCTATTAATGACAGGTGCATTATAGCTAATTGCCAAATTACCAAACCCATTAAATCTTTCAACAATGCCTCTGAATAAAAATATTACCCTAACTGATCTTTTCCAAAATTTAATACCTATTTCGTCATTCTCATCAAATTCTATACCATCGACTGGGAAATCCAAAAATTGATAATCTTTGATACCACATTCCGTATAACTATCACAATTTTGACTATTTCTTTTTTCATCAATTATATCAAACCATAAGGAACCACGGCATTTCCAAACTTCAGGCAAATCCTCATTTGCATTGAAATTTCTAAGCAATTCCTCCAAGTTCAAGGACCCATACTGATCACAAAGTTCATTCAAAGGAGAATTATCCCAACAGTTATCAATCATATATGCTAAAAGAACATTTAAAAATCTAACCATAGAATTCCATGGGAATATTCTTTTAATAAATGCATACCAAAATTCCATCATTGCTGTATCTTGATATTTTTCTATTTGTAAGGCAATTGATATTAAGAAGTAAACCCATGGTAAAATATGTGGCAATGCAACCATTAGTGGCCCATTCAAAAATTTCTGAAGTACAATCATACTACATTTTGTTGCCGTGAAATTATGATATTTCAAAGAATCGTTCCATAATGAGATGGAATTTGGCATAAAATTATTTATTGCCAATTTGTCAATATTATTGAAAAAGTCTTCAGATCCCAGAAATACATTTGTTTCCATATTGACCATGTATTCCATACCACTAACCGACGAAAATGTAGTGCTAGATCCATCTTCACCAACAATTTGATTTTTTGGCTTTCGTTTTTCTTTTTTATCTCTTCTTTCTTTCAAATATTTGGGCAGAGAAAAAAGTAATGCGAATGGATTCTTAGGGTTACCATATCCTACTAATTGAAGTATTTGGGCTTCGGCAAATGCGTTTGCATGTCTAAAGTAAAATTTCAATTGGTCATTATTTTGAATAAACATTTGTCTAGGTTGAAACATTTTGACATTATTATTATTGTAGTCAATACCAAACTTTTCCATAAAATAAAGTAATACAACCTGTTGCAGATCTGGCGATTCCATAAAGTTCGGTAGCAACATTACTTCACTATGTTTCAAATAATCAACTAAAAGTTGGCAATTTCTACTATTGCTTGAACTATTTCTATCAGCAAATGCTCTTTGATAGATGTTATCGATCACTAATTGCAAGTATTGCTGTGAAGGGACAAAAGTATTTTGACAAAACACACTTTTCCCTAAATTTACAAATGCTTCCAGAGTATTTTGTTGAACAGTTGACATATGGTAATAAAGTTTACCGTATCCATATGAATATTCCATTGCTGCCATGTACCAGCGCTCTGCGCTTAATTTCCAATCTATAAATCCTGAAGGAAACAATGCAACTGCCATTCTTGAAAGGTCACCGAGCTTTTGCAACCATGGAATTGCATATTTCTGAGGAATGTCATCAAGCATACTAGATATCGATATGAAGACATGTGTTATAAATTGACAGCATACTTCTGGATCCATGAAATTTGAAAAATTCTTTAATACATCTAAAAATGTAATAGTACCATAAACCCAAAGCCTTCTTTCAATCTTATATATATCGACGATTTCTTCCCCAATCAATAAATCACTCTTCGATTGAGATGGGAATAATGCAGTTGTGATAAAAGTTACATAATTGTTGATAAGGTCGGCATTGAGTTTGTAAATGACCCATAAATTTTTGATTTCAGTTGTTTGTGAATTAGTTAACTGGGAACATCTTTCTTGTAGTTCAACTTCTTGTTTCAGTATTATCTTATAGATATCTTGCAATTTTTGTACAAGTGCCTGACTTGACTTCCGTGGAGGAACCGAAACAGAAGGAACATCATTATTATCCCCATTATCCTTATTATCTTTGTCTTCATCTCCATTACCTCCTACATTATGGCTCATATCATTGAAATCTTCAACAGTCCCATTATTACCCGATTCACCATTAAAATCATTATTATTATTATTATTATTGCTATCGTTACTTTCGTTATTGGCATTCTCATTTCCAATGTCCATATCGTTGTCAGGAACAATATTGTCATTACTTGAATAATTTTGTATTGAGGTATTCTTTTCAAATGTATGCAAATGTGGTTCGGTATTCTCAGGACTTGGGAAATTAGAAACTTGATAAACAAAGGAATCATTCCTCACAGATAATGGCCTCATCATTTTATCCTTTATTGCTTGATTTATCTGTGAAAAGTCTTGATCTTTTCTTATGGAATCTTCTAAATTTTCATTTGAAACTATGTCCAGATTTGAAGGTAAATTTGAATTTAGCACAAAAGGGGATGTCATCGAATCTTGTGTTATGTAAGTCGGTTGTGGAGTCGTTGACGTATTGATAATATTATTCTTAGCAATACTTGGTTTAGGTGATGCTAATGGAGTATTTTGTAAACTTGTTTGATTTGATATATCACCTCCACCATTTGAGCCTGAATCCAGGAAGTTCCCAGTGGCGGAATTATAACTATTCTTAGCTACCCTTTTCTTAATATAATTCGGTGTTATATAGTATGAACTTGAACCATGTCTTTTTTGACCCAAATTTTTAGTATTTTGATTTGTTGACTGCAAATTCATCTGTTTTGTCTGATCTCTCAAGTCTTGTATATTGTTCTTCCTTAACCTTTCGTTTCTAATGTTCAAAGATATTTGTTCATTCGATTGCGAGGCACTTAGATCTTGACCTTCATCTCTTCGTAAATTTAAGTTAGGTAAAGGTATAGACATTTCTCCTGATGTAAACAAGAAAAAAATAAATCCAAATATGTATCTGAATTAAATATGCAAATATATGGCAGGTGAGGGAGTCTGATTATTTCCTTTCACTTTTAATATAAAGGCCAAAAAGAAATAAAACAAAAAATTAAAAAAAGTATGATAAATGGGGTTCAATGAATGAGCAACTAACAAACTAAGTTTAACCTATAACAGAAATATCACCACAACTAAATAATATAGGACCAATATGCCTTGAACAAACAAAATTACAATGTAAGTGTCAATAAGGCCTGGACAGATAAGTTACTTCGGGATGGTTACGTAAGTGAATCAATAATTCCAATTTTCGAAATGAATAAGTGTACCACAAATCTTTCAATATTGGAATATGTCTATAAGAATTCAACGATATCGTAACAAATAAACCAAGACTATCCAAAATGTATTCTTCTTTGAACTTAATAGAAGAACCAATCTTATTTATCCTTTTCCTTTCGATAACAAAAATAAAGTGAAATAAATAAATCGATACTCCCAATAGAATGCTGAAATAATAACAAATTGAAAAAGTCCCTAATAACAATAACCTATCAACTTATTCCTGTTACCTAATCCTTTTTGAATCTATTATTATTATTGATATTATTAATATTATTATTTATTTATATTTTATATTTTAGATCGAATGTTGTATTTTGATGTTTCTTTTATCAGTAGAAGCTACAGATAGAAATCGCTCTAAATAATATAAATGTAATCACTTGGAAACAGAGACTTCACTTGAACCGTATTTTGAATGTGTATAGATCAATATCTAATACAAACAATCATTAATGAATCATGAAACATTGCTCAGAATTAACCGTTTAATACTCTTATTCTTTCTATACAAAAGCAACAAATAAATCAAATTTTTATCAGGAGAGGCTATTAATCTCAATATTCGTTAACAATGACAAGATGAAAAAATAACGAACGTATCCAATAATGGTACTCATGGCCGGGTAATGGGCATCGCATTCCAGATACTCTATTATGTATATATACATATATATATATTCTATTATACTATACGAAACTATACTATGAATTCATTATTTTTGGACAGTAATCTCTACATCACATCAGCCAGATCCAGTCAAGATATTTATATAAGGTCTCATGATAACTCGTCCATTGTTTCTATGATTGTCTTGACACTGTCAATTACACTGCTGACACCTACACGGAGCACTCTATCATCAATACTTTTGAATTTCATGATCAATAGATTGTCATTTGAAGAGTAAGACACTTGGAAATCTTGAGGTTTTAGGATTGGATCTGGCTTCAGTACTTGGACTGCTATTTCTGCTTGTCTTGCAGTCTCAAATGGTATTTCAAAATCTCTGGATAGAACGAAATTGCGTTACTCTTGTTAGTTATATGCTAAGAAAAAAATAGAATTATCGAAAAACACATGATTTAAATCGAGGTGATAAAACTAACCAACGANCAAAGGGTACTTACAATGTATGATCCATCTCAATGGTACGTTGGGTCTTCATGGGACACCCACTGTTCCTCATTCAATTACCCCCAATTTCTGTATTTCCACTTTGGAAAAAGTTCAGTGCTTTCTCATATGGAAACTTTTTCCATTTTTTAATAGGAGGCTTTTCAGCCAAGATATTTAAAGAAGTTCCGTAAAAAAGTCTATTTAATATATAAGTCATGCTATTTAATCTAGGTTTAAAGTTGGTATTTTTGATCTTTTGTAGATGAATTATGCAATATTTTTAAATCACTGCCACTGTCGTCGTTGTTATCAATCGAAGATTGTTGTTTTCCAAATAATTTTTTCCAATTTCTTTGACGATCAATTCTTCTTTTAATCAAATCATCTTTAGATGGTTTTAAATTGACAGTATCTTTCCTGAATGTCATCAAGTCATCCAATGCTTCTTTTTTTTCCATTTGATATTTATTTGTAACTTCTGTTTCAGAATTTGAATTTCTAATCACTGAACTTAACTTACCTCCTGTTGGATCAAACCCTAATCGTTGAAGTATACCTGTTTGTAAAGTCGCCTGTGTAGCATTTTTCAAATTCTTAAAATTTTTTGATTCTTTGTCCACCGTATTTTTCAATGCTTTCACTAAATTTCTTTCCATCTTAGAGTCTTTAATCTTTCTTCTTTTACTGTCCAGATTATTTAAAATATCAGGATTTTGAAAATCTTCGTCAAAGAATGCCTTAGCTGAATTCATCGTGCTGAAATGATGCATTCTTGTCTCCAATTTATTTGAATCTTTTCTCTTTTGATAATGACTATCTGATACCATATTATAAGATTTTTGAACCCTACTATTGTTCGAAGTACCTCTATTTTGATATAAAGCTGGTCTAGCATCAACTTTTGTTGGCGCACCCAATGCATATGTACCACTTAATTCGACTCTATTTGAAGTAGTCTTTCTGAATTGTATTTCTCTATGATATTGACATTTGTCCTCTTTAGATTTATTAATTGGCGTCTTACAAAGAGTATTCTTTGATGCATTTGGAATTGGACACCATCCTAAGTCTCTGCTGGCGCCAATTTCTAATATACAATCAAACTTATGACTGATTCGCAGGTTGAAGGATTTTATAGTGCTGCCACTACCTCCTGAATTTTCTGAAGGTCTCCAAGGAAGAATTTCAGGGTTTAAAATTGCAACTACATCCCCTACTCTAAGATTATAGTATTTTTCCACACCTTTCACCCCAAATATAAAAACATCTAAATTGTGTTGAAAATCGCTGATTGTAAATTTAAAATATTTAGTAGGCTTGGAAGAAGATGTGTACTTTATATCGTCCTTTGATGTAATTATCCCTGTAACAACCCAATTTGAGTATTGAGGCTCAGTAAATTTTGGAGGTCGTACTTTAGCAAATAGTTTTGGTAATCTAAGTATTTTTATGTCGAGTAACATCAAATTTAGCTCATCTACTGGAATATATCTACTTCTTAACCACAAGTTAGAATATTGGTCTAGCTCATCAACATCCGTAGGTTTAAACTCTTTCTTACTGCCTGTACCTGAAAATGTGTGAACCCTACTGCTCATCATACTAGAATAAGCTACTACTTTTCGTTCATGATCCTTCTTGGAATTATAGAATTTTTCCATAAAGTATGATGTTGTTCCATAGTTAGAATCATCCTTTGTCATCAAAGCAACTTCATTTGGGTTTTCCTCTTCCTCCTCTTCATTATTATCAATTGGCTTTGACGTAGGTTTGAGTTCTACAACACGAGACTTCTTAGGCGAACTAGGTACTTGTACAAAATTAGGATCCAATTTAGATTTTCTTTCCTTCTTCTTCTTTAACCTTTCTAATAAGTCCTGTTTCTGTCTTTCAATGGCTTTGAGTTGTTCAGATATCTCATCCTGTTCTCCTTCATCTGAACTTAAGTTAGAATAAAGATCCTCCTTTGCATGCTCTCTTGGGTCATTCATATTACTTTCTAGTATCAAAGAGTCATATATATCAGCGTATGTGATGGACTCCACCCAATTAAACTAACTACCTTTTTAACTTATCTCATCACCTTTAAATATTCCATGCTTCCTTTATTATAATGATGAAATTTAGCTTGACGCGTCTAAGCTTTAATATTTATTGACATATACAAATACTGTAAAATATTAATTAAGAATAATAAAGATAACTGAAGCTATTGAATAGAACCCAGCAAGATATATATACACAAACACACACACATATATATATACATGAATAACTTTTATTTCGTTATTTTAACTATATTAATAATGACTATTAAACAAACATTAATTTGGTTTGAACTTTTTTAGATCTTGTTCATTTTCGTCTTCAGAATGACGTTTTGGAGATTCTGAATTACTGTTGCTATCATCAGATTTACTTTCTTGAGAAGAATCAGCTCTTGCAGTTTGGAAAGATGGAGCTACAGGTGATATCTTAAATGGATTGGCTCCAAGTGAAAATGTAGGCTTGATTCCGAACACTGATACTGGAGAGTCGGTGTCCTGAGTTGTAGTAAACGGATTTGAATTAGGTGGAGGTGAGAATGTAAATGATGGCTTTGCTTCTTGCTTATCCAATTCTGGATTACTCTTTTCATTATCTGTTGTTTTAACTTCTGCTTCTTTATCAGTAACGTCAGATTCATTATTTTGAAGTTGAGATTCGAGTTTGGCAATTTTATTCTCTAGAAATTTAGTTTTCATACTAGCCTGTTGTTTACCTTCTTCGAATGCTTTCTTTTTGGCATTCACTAAATTGTCTTCAAATTCCTGCTTTATCTTTTCAATATCCGTACTCTCAGCAGAAACTGTTTCAAGCTTCTTCTTGTAATCTTCTTCTAAGTCAGCTACTTTTGATTCAATAATCGTATTTATCTTCTCCTCCGATGGTAATCTGATCTTGCGTTTCAATGCCTCCTCTGCCTCTGCAACACGCTTTTGAATGTCGCCTTCGTATTCAGTTTTTAAAACCTTCAACTCTTCTTTATGTTTTAAATCCAGCTCGCTCTTTGTTTTATTTAATTTTTCTTCTAATTCTGCTATTAATATTTTCTTAGCATTCTCGATTTCCGATTCTTGTAGACCTACTGAAGATTCTTTTGACTTCAATTTTTCATTCAATGACTCTATTTCATTCTTCAGATCACTAACTAAAGATTCTGATTCACTGACTGTTTTTATTAATTCCTCTTCAAATTTCTTTGACTTATCTAAAGCATTAGCAAGTTGTTCCTTTAAATCACCAATGGATCCCAGTTCTTGATCTTTTAGAGATATTGAATTCTCTAATTCTTTGAATCTCTCCATCTGTTCACTTAAATTCCTTTCCAAATCAGTATTGCGAGCTTTCAACTCGTTAGACTGTTCAGTTAAGTTATTTTGAGCTACTTTTGACGCATGTAACCTCTCATTAGCTTGTTTCTTTAATCTGTTGAAACGGTCAGATAATTCCTCATTCTCTTTACTCTTCTCTTCTACTTGTTTTTGTAGGTTGATCAAGTCTTCATTGTCATTATTTTTAGCTGATAGAGTTAGTTCATTAAAACGTGTTTTCCAATTTTCAGCTTTTTCATTTGAGACATTTATGATATTATCTTTATCCTCAATTAATATATTGAGTTCAGAAATTTTTGTTTCTAGTGGCTTTAATCTTTCAAGAGATTCTTCCAACTGACATTTTAGGGCAATATTATTTTCATTCAATGCATGAATTTCTTGAGTTAATTCCATATTTCTTTCCTTCAGTTCATCCAATTCAGTTAATTTTTCAATCAATGTTTCTTCATTGACATTGCCCTTTTTGTGATCCTGAACCATAGCTCTTTGGTTCTCAAAATTCAAGATCTGTGAATTTGCTGCATTTAACTCACTTTGTACTGATTCTAAATCGGCCAAAATAACTTGCATATCTTTTTCATAATTTACAACTTGGTCAGAAAGGGTGTCTCTTTCATAGCGTAGTGATACAAAAATATCATCAACTTCTAGGTTTGCTGACCTCTCTAATTTTTCTAATAATAGTCGATTTTGGGTGGCTAAATTCTGAACTCTTACCTTTGTATCTTCTAATTCTTTAGTAATCAGTTCTAAATTCTTTTCTTCTTCAATTGGATATATCTTTTTGGTCTTGTTAGAATCACCAAATATTCTTATGGTTATCTCATTACATGAAGCACTGCTTGAAACTGGAGATGCATCTCTTGAATCTTCTAGAGCTTTATCTTCAACCAGAGCCTTTGAGTTTTGAGTATCAGCAGGTAACCTTGATTCCAATGTTTTAATAGTTTTTTCATATTGATCTAATTTTTTTTGGTACCAGCTAATTTGGTCATAATTACTACTGTTTAGGTCATCGATTTCAATATTCTTATTTTGTAATTTTCTTTCAAGTATTAGTTTTTGTTCGTTCAATTTCGAAATATTCAATTCCAATTCTTTAACTTTATCGGTATATTTAGATATTTCATTTTCCAAAGATTGTTCCAGATGTTTTGATTTTGAATCCAAATCTTTGATCTGTTCATAATTTGATTTTATTTCTTGCTTCAAAGAATTATTTTCTTCTTCTAAGCCCAATTTATTATTGTTTAGTAATGTTAATCGGTTAGTGAAATCCAGTAAGTTTGTTTTACATTTGATATAATCGTTTAATACCGAGTTTAAGTTTTTTTCTTCTTCATTTAATTGTTGTTCTAGCATTGAATTTTTGGAAGATAGCTCTTCATTTTCTAAAGTTAAAAGATCATAAGAATTTTGTAATAGGGTTAATTTTTCATTTGCTAAAATTGTAGATGATTTTTCTTTTTCCAAATTTATCAAAATATCAGTCCGTTCATTATATAGATTTTGAATATCTTTATTTAAATTTTCAATGGTTGATTGTGAATATGCTGAAAGTTTTGATAATTTTGATTCCAAATCTTTAACAAGGTTGCTATGATAATTAAAATGTTGTTTTTCTGATTCCTTACTATTTGGAATTGATGATTGCAATTCGCTGATTTTTGATTGTAAAGTCCCAATTTCCAATTTTAATACATTATTATATTCCTGTAATGATAGTATAGTTTCCTTTGCTTCATTAATGGTGTCATTATCATAGTTTTCTCTTGAGTTTTTAATTTCTGATTCTTTTGATTCCAGTGAAAATGCTAAGTTTCTAATAGATTTGGTTAATTCCATGTTTTTCTCTTGTAACGAAACAATGTCCTTAAACTTAATCAATCTATCTGAAATAACGCTTTGAACGTCAGAAGATAATCTCTGTTTGTCCTTATTTATTAGGTTTTGCATGAATAAAATTTCTGATTTTGATAAAGGACCATTATTATCATTTTGTATTGAGGAATGGATTAGTAAGTATTGCAACTGATGTGCTAAATCTGTTCTTTGAATGTCCAATGCTTCAATACTCGATGATTTTTCATTGATAGTTTTTTTCATAGAATCCATTAATTTTAAATTTTCCTTTTTATCATTTTGTAAAGATTCAATAATCAAGTTTTTTTTATTTAAATTATCTTGTAAATTTTCGATTTCAGCTTTGAAATTTTCAATTAATGGTAGTTGTTGTTCTAGTTCATTTAAATAGTTTTGTATATCACTTTTGAGGCCATTATTCTGTTTTGATAATGCTTTTGCTGGTGATGGTGGTATTGTTGCCTTACTATTTTCAATATCATCGTTGATAGTTTTAGAATCATTTATTATTTCTACTTCATTTTTAAACTTTGGGGATTTGCCTAATTTCAATAAGTTTTCAATTTTTGAGTTCAATTGTTGAATTAACTTGTCCTTTAGTTGGATATCGTTATTTCTTTTAAGTTCCAGTTCTGTTATATTATCATTTAAATTTTTCAATTCAATTAATTTCAAATTCAAATTATTATTTAAAGTATCATTTTTATCTGTTAGATTTAAATTAGTTGAATTCAAAGTTTTGTTTTCATTTTCTAACTTAAATAATTTCAATTTCAAATTTTCAATTGTTTTATTTTGATCAATTTTACTCAAGTTAAATTTTTCAATGATATTCTTCAATTGATTAGACAGTTTTAAATTATCGTTGTTGATATGTTGAATTTGTAAATTCAAGTTATCAATTTTAAACTTATCTTTGAACGATTCTGTGTCACTATTTTCATTATAGTTTAGCAATTGATCAATAGAAGTTTCATTTAACAAATTCAATTGGTCTATTGGAATATGATAACGCAGAGATAAATCTTGTAGTAGGGTATTATCTAGCATTTGCAATTAAAGGAGAAAGTGAAGCCGCCGACGGTGGGGTCTGATGTATATTTTCTATATCTATATCTATATTTATAGTAGTAGTTGTAGTGGCTGCAGTAGTAGAATATCTGTATATTCTTTATAATGTACTACAAAAAGCTCTTTTTACCAAAAACAAAGTATATGTAGTTTGTTGCAGTATAGTAATATAGAGCGACAAGTCACCTGATGTTAGAGAGAGAGAGATGCTAGAATAGTCTATTGAAATGGGGGGTGTGGATGGAATTAACCTTGTAAAATGTGTATATGTATGTAACACAGGGACTGGATGTATTGGATGAGCTCTGGTTGTGTACTATGATTACACCTTTAAGTATTAGTTTGACATTTTATTTTTTCAAATGAGTATATAATGCTTCAATTCTAATTTGATGTAATCAAATTGTGAGTATGTTTAAATTTAGTAAAATGGACAAAATTTGATATATTTCCTAAAAGAGTAGTATGTAGTTGTGTACGTGCATACTAAACCAGTTAACCTTAAAAAAACGACAACCACGGAAACTGCTACAAAATTGCACACATGGCAGCGCTAACATACATCCAAACAAATCCAGATCATGTGATCGACTAACCGTCTTCCTTCCTTAAAACCCCAAACCAATTCAGTGGCGAGGGTAACACCCTTTTTTTCCGGGCGCAAACGAATACATAGATGTATAGGGACCAGACGTTCCATTTCATGGGACTGTGTGCACCCGTACATCTAGAAAGATAATAACCCGATGTACGGGTGCACGCGCCTGAAAGAACATAAATAAAATAAAAATAAAAAAACAAACAAACATATTTTCCCTTGGCCGTTCCATTTTCACTTATAATGTTTTTTCTTGTTTTAAAGTTGTGTTTTCCGGAAAACCACCACATTGGAAAAACATTGTCTGCGTTGTACGTATGTCTCTGTACTCAAAACGGGTTGTTGTGTTGTTGTCCACCGTTTTCTCTCACAGCGTTACCCTCACTTACCAACTATCTCTGAATTTTTCCACTTTGTCATGTAACTAATTACATCATAAGTTTGTATGGTAAATTTCGAAACAGTACTATTGCTGCACCATCGAAACTGTAAAATTTCATCCATCAAAACCTCATCTTCGAGGTTTTACTTCAAGTTTGAATTAGTTATCTATCATCATTACATTCATCGCCATCTGCCATCTGCCATCTCTCATCTTCACCTTCACCTTCACCTTCACCTTCATGAACACCAACTTCATCATCATCATCAATTTACCAAATTTTTCAAAAATCAGTAAATTAGTTTATTCTATGATTACTATCTCTCTCTCTTTCTTATCATCATGTAATTTTTTACTAGAATTCTTCTTACTACTCTTCTATTATCTTTAATTTGAATTAGTATTGTTATAAATTATTTAATTCAATACTTCAATAATTGTATATATATAAATTTGTCATATTTTGCAGTTATTAGTATTACTTGTTACAATACCTATATCTCCAGGAGACAACATCATCAAAGATGCAAATTTTTGTTAAAACTTTGACTGGTAAGACTATTACTTTAGAAGTTGAATCTTCTGATACCATTGACAACGTCAAGTCTAAGATTCAAGACAAGGAAGGTATCCCACCTGACCAACAAAGATTAATCTTCGCTGGTAAGCAATTAGAAGATGGTAGAACTTTGTCTGACTACAACATCCAAAAGGAATCTACTTTACATTTAGTCTTGAGATTGAGAGGTGGTATCATTGAACCATCTTTGAAGGCTTTGGCTTCTAAATACAACTGTGAAAAATCTATTTGCCGTAAATGTTACGCAAGATTACCACCAAGAGCTACCAACTGTAGAAAGAGAAAGTGTGGTCACACCAATCAATTACGTCCAAAGAAGAAATTGAAATAGTCGTGTTACTTTTATGTTTTTATATCTTTGTGTAAATGGTCATTTAAAACCTATTATTATTATGTATAAAAAGAATTAAATTAATAGCTTTTTCATATTTTCTTTCACCTTTTTTTTATTTTTGTCTTTCACAACAGCATCCAATGTGGAATGTATGTGAAAAACATTGAGGAACTGTAACAACTACTAATGTTTGTTTAATCTTTACTATAAAGAAGTAAATATGTGTATTCTATCTATGTATTTATGCTTTAGGGCAGAATTCTGTTAGAATTCCCTTTAATTGCTCCCTCTTTATAGGTTTGGCTAAAAATCCATCCATTCCAGATTTATAGCATGCTTGAATATTACTGTCATCTGCAAATGCAGTTAATGCAACAATTGGTTTATCATATTTTAATTCTTGTCTAATTATTTTTGTAGCGGTTATACCATCTACTTTTGGCATTTGGATATCCATTAAGACTAATCCATAATATTCTCCTCTTGATTGTATCTCCTTAATCTTTTCAACAGCTTCTTGACCGTCACAAGCTATAGTAAAATTCTCTATGCCTTCTAGTTTAAGCATCCTTATTACCACTAATTGGTTGACTTTATTATCTTCTACGATCAATAATTTGAAATTCTTAACATCATATTTAATGCTATTACCCATTTCTTGTGAACTCTTACTAGGAACTACAGCTTGACTTTCCGATTCAGTACTTTTCTTTGGTTCAGTGCATTTCCCTGGTTCAACTTCTACTCCACTATTTCCTTCGATATTAACTTGGTCTACCTCATCAGTTATTTCTTGGAATTTGACTTCTCTATTCTTCTTACTATTAATGTTGAACTCATCTTCAAATACTAGTTCATTGCCATTAAATTCAATTTCTCTAGTCTGTAACAATGGAACAGTAAATATAAATTTACTTCCTACACCAACTTCAGATTCTAACTTCATTGTACCATGCATTAAATTTGCTAATTGGCGGCAAATAGATAAACCTAAACCGGTACCACCATATTGCCTTGAGAGCGTTTGATCACCTTGCACAAATGGTTCAAAGACAGATTTTTGTAAGCTTGGTTCAATACCAGGACCAGTGTCTTCAACTTCGACTGAAATAACCCATTTTCTTTTCTTGTCTAATGGTACACCAATAGCATCATCAGTATCCTGGAAATTGCTTCCATTTTTAAATTTATTAGAATATATTGTATTATTAGTTGACCTCTCGGTATCAGAAGCTACTGATTTATTACTTATATTATCAGCAACGCTCATGGTATCTTTGCTACTAATTAGCGTCATCAGTGGCTTTATCTTGTCACCGTTACTATTTCGAATTTCCTTCATATACACATCTTTATAATTTTCTGCAGCGCTTCTATCTTTATCATATTCACCTAGAAGCTTTATATTAACAGTGATTTTACCATCAACTGGTGTGAACTTTAAGGCGTTTGAAACCAAGTTCATTATCACTTGAAGTATTCTGTTCTGATCGCCCCATAACACCATAGACCTCAGTTTGTTTGGTAATATAAATATTGACAACTTGACATGTTGATCCTTAGATATTTTGCCAAAAATTGATTCTATCTGTAATGCTAAATCTATAACGCAGAAGTGAGTTTTCTCAAGTTTTGTTTGTTTCAAAACATTTTTTGAAAAGGTAAGCAATTCTGTTAAAATGTGTAATAATAATTCACCAGATCTGTATATTAACTTCAAACTGCTTTGAATTCTTTCCATATCTGTCTCCTCCATCGCAATTGCTGTCATACCAAGAATACCATTTAAAGGAGTTCTCAGCTCATGAGTAACATTTGCAATAAAAACAGTTTTAGCTTCATTAGCCGATTCCGCTTCAATTTTTGCAGCCTCTAGTTGTTTAGTTCTCTCTTTTACTCTATATTCAAGTAATTGGGAATGTTCATCTAGAGCATCTGTCATTAACTTATATGTTTCTGTCAATTCAGACAATTCGTCTTTGACAAATCTTCGAGATGCTGGTACTTGGAAATCAGCTAAGTTTTTTCTCATCACTATGGCACTTGAATTACTTGAAGAATAATCGGTAATATTCTCTTTGCTTAACGACTCTGTAGATTTATTTGCTTTACCTATTTCTGTATATTTTTCCACGTCTTCATATAAATTATAGGAAGATGAATTATGTCTACCATCTTTACTTCGCCTATTACTGCTGAAAGTACTTCGACTAGATGATGAAGAATTTGATCGATGCACTTCATTACCGTCCCTTTTTGATATCACTTCAGTTGCCTTTTGAAGGCGAACTATAGGTTGAACTGACCAACGGGATAACGGGAAAGTAATCACACATACGAAAACAGTAATAGCTATTACTGTACCCGCTATGATTTTTGTCAATTTAATTGATGAAGACATGAAAACATGTTCTGGCTGTGAAACTGTACCCACCCAATTTGCTAAACCAAACGAACAAGGCCAATAACCGATAGCAACTGCCTTACTATATAGACTCTTTGATTTATTGATAGACCCACCTTCGGGTGAACTGAAAGCGTCACTTAAGAAGGTACTATTTTCAACTGGATATGCAGTATTGACAATATCATCCGATGCACCATGAGGAGGAAATACAAAATGATATTCTTGACCTGATGTACCATTAGTATTTGTTGATGATATCACAGCAACGATAGATTTTTCTAAAGCTGTTGTATCATTAACGACAGCTCTAATGGTTTCTGCAGACATAACTACTGTCAGATAACCAAAAACTCTCGAATCACTTAACGTAACTGAAGGGTTCGCAATAATAGGCAATGACATAGACATTAAATATGTGCTATCGTTTAAAACAGGATCGGTTAGTAAACCTGTAGTACCTAAATAAGAAGGCAATGAATCAGTTCCTGATAACGGAAGTAAGTGACTTAAAACATCATCTGGTATATAATCGTTTGTTTCATTATTCGTTTCATTCAATATTAGATTAAACTGGGAATCATATAAAGTAGTTGTTAGGAAAACAACTGATGATTCTAGGAAAGTTGATAAAACATCACTCGTACTTGCCCAATTTTCGGCAGATCTATTACCAGCAGTATAATCTGTTAATGCACTTTCTATCTCATCTCTTCTTGTTAACCATACACATTGGTAATATAACAAGTTAATAGTTTGGTCAATCTGTGAAGATTTCAACCTTGCAGCAATATATAATTGTTGTAATCTTAGATCTCTATAATTTTTGGTGAAGTAAACACCGGTACTGATAGCCAAGATCAGTAATGATATAATAGCAACAAAGCAAACTAATGTGGTTAATTGGGTCCTTAATTTCACTTTATATGGCGCTTTCCATATAGACACATTGCAAGCCCTTAACATACGAGTTAATTATTGTTTTCTACAGCAAGCTGTCCTTTAATAAAATAATAAAAGCTATAGTTATGATTTTTATCCAAATAATAAACAGCAAATACGTTGAGTCTCTAGATTACCACTATGAATCTAATAATAGATTCGTGATTGTTTATCTCCCTCTTTTTTTTATGGATACCTGTTCTTATCGATGTCTCAAGTTGGAATGCTTTTATCCTATCAAAGTCAATATTAATTATATTTGTAGAAAGGCTTTTATAAAGCATTCAAAAATCGTTTGACCACCTAGCAGATGTCCTCAAATTATAAGCAATATATATGGTTGTATTATATCTTGAACTCATCACACCATATTTCTTTAAGTATACTATTTTTATACAACATTTAGATCTTGGTTGTGTTAAAATTTAATGATTTTTTTTCAGCGATGACGTAACTCAGGTGAAAAAAAAATTACCATAAGGTGTAAGCAACTAAACGTAAACAAGTTGGATTGGTTAGAGTAGATGTGATGAGGTGACCGCTAAAGATAAAATCAGATTTTTGAAAATACACACTACATATTTTGACGGTTCTATGGATGAATATATAAATTTGGGTAACAATAACTATAAATATCAAATCTACAGGACAATATTATCGATTAGTCTTACTTTACGTGATTTGTCAACTCTATCAGTGACGTAAACGGCACAACTAATGATGTATTGGAAACCATCTTTAGGAGCTTTAACTTCGGTTACTTCAGTCAAAGTTCCCCAGTTAGCGATGGATATATAGTCAACTTTGAAATCGTTTAAATCGATGAATGGTTTCCATTTATTTAAAACCAATTGAACTAGTTCATCTCTACTTTTTATCTCTCCACCATCATTGTTCAAACTTTCGATTTGTAATTTGGCTTCATTCAAACCTTTATAAATGTTTGTTGCAATTTCTAAAGATTCTTGTGATAAGTACTTGTTTCTACTACTTAGTGCCAAACCGTTTTCTCCTCTTACAATTGGCATCATTTTCAATTTAGTATTCATGAAAAGTTCATTAACCATTACTTGCAAGACGGTGAATTGCTGAATATCTTTTTGTCCAAAGTATGCAATATCTGGAAGAACAATATTTAATAGTTTAGTAACTACAGTAGCTACACCACGGAAGAAATTTGGTCTTGTAGTACCTTCCAACATTTCACTGACACCAAGAACACTCACAAAGGGTCCTCTTTGAACAGTGACATCCAAAGGGATACCTTGAGGATACATAACTTTGGCAGTTGGTGCAAATAGCATATCCACACCTAAGGATTCAAGTAATTTAATATCTTCAGGTAATGTACGAGGGTACTGATCTAAATCTTCAGTTGGCGCAAATTGAGATGGATTAACAAAAATACTAACAACTGTAAAATCATTCTCTTGTTTTGAAGTTTTGATCAATGTAGCATGCCCTTGATGAAGACATCCCATTGTTGGAACAAACCCAACACTGATCTTTCTACGATCACCAATTTCTTTGGTTCTCCATTCAACAACTTCTTTCACAGTATGTAGCACCTTCATTTCTCTCAATCTAAACTATTTCGAACAATGTTCACCAATGATTCAATTGAGTCCAAGCCAATTGAACCTCTTTTGATTCCAACATAATCATTCTACTTAAACCTTCTGTTCCTTATATAAAGAATTGAATTGAACTGGATCGTTGTTAGATTCAGAGTCATCGCTGTTGTATAAATTAAGCAATTTCGATCTACGGCAACTAAAAGGGGAAGTTTAGTACCCGATTGGCTAAATACGATTGTTAAAGAGCAAGAGAGGTTATTTAGTTAAATACATTTTAATTTAAAATTTAATTTTTAAACAATGATATGGATGTATGTTATAGTAATCCACCAATTATATATATTTATAGAAAATACATATCTATATGATATCTCTATTTTTTGTTCTTTTGATTAATAAATTATACTACGAAAAAAAATTTATAAGAAAAATATAACTTAAAGTCCCAGAAACAGATGGGTAAAAATCTGAATAATTGTTATTGATATGTACCAATGGTGCAATTTCATTTTTATTTCAATTTTAAAAATATTTGTTCTATTTTTTGACCTTTTTTAAATTTTGATTTTAACTTTTTTGTCTAAGTTTTAGTATTTTTTTTATATTAATATTTGAAATCATTAATTATTTTTTAGGATTTTTATAATACATTTTACGAATAAGTGGATGATGTTCTTTCAACTCTTTGTTCTTATTCGTACTGTATTCCATATATGCCATGTCTTCACCACCAGCAAGACCTGCCAAAGAACCTTCACCTCTAACAGCCTTCGATTTGAATCTTTTATGAGCGTTACCTCCACGACCGATGGTATTCTCAGCATCGTCACCAATTTCAATACCAGCGGCTTCTTCATTTTTCAATAAGACTTCTTGTAATAGTTCTCTACGTTCTCTTCCTGAGGCGTATGCTAAATTTGGTAATAATTCCATACCATGCAAATGTGTAATGACTTTAAAAGCATAACCTTGATCAACCAAAAATGCTTGTCTCTTCGTTGAATAATACATTTCTTGGGTATCTTTAGAAACTAATGAGTAGAAAAATGCATTAAAACCTTCATCATTACGTCTCTTAGCCCTTAAAATTCTACCCAATCTTTGGGCTTCTTGACGACGGGAACCGTAATGTGAAGATATTTGAATCAAACAGGTAGCTTCCGGTAAATCAATGGAAGTATCACCAACTTTTGAAAGAAAAATTGTATTGATTTGATCATTATATTGGAAATTTTGTAAAATGTTCATACGTTCTTGTTGTGGAGTAGAACCATAAATAAATGGTTTACCCAATTTCAGAGCATACTCTTGTAGAGCATACACATTATCTGAAAACACAATAATCTTATCACCTCTCTTTTCATGATACTGAATCAAAAACTGACAAGCTTGGAATTTTGTTGGATTCATAATATACAACAGCATTCTTTTTCTCGCATTTTCTCTTAAATATTCTTGATAGAAATCTACTGTCATTGGGCACCAAACTTCAGCACACTGAACATTTGCAATATGACCTTTCTGAGAAAGTTCCATCCAATTTGCTTCATATAACTTTGGACCAATTAAGAAATTTAAATCACTAATTTTATCATCTTCTCTGACTAAGGTTGCTGTAAGACCCAGCTTTGCATGTGCAGCAATAGCAGTGACAACTCTACGAAACATTGCAGCGGGAACGACATGGACTTCATCCAAAATAATGAAACCCCATTCTCTACCTGTCAAAAAATCCATAACCTTTTGGGAATCATGAGATCTGTTTCTGGTATTGGCAACCATAGAATATGTAGAAACAACAAGACCTGATTCAGTTTGAAACATTTCTTTGTTATCTGATGTGAAAACTGCACAATTCTCTGGCTGAAGAGTACACCATTGTAAAAATTGTTGTCTCCATTGCATGACACTCACTGATGAGGTACATAAAACAATAACTGATTTCTTAATGGTACATGCAGCAGTGATCCCTACCAATGTCTTACCTGCACCACATGGTAGGACGATAATCCCACTTCTTGCACGACCATTACCAAACATCTTACTTAGTGATTTTTCTTGATAAGGTCTAATCTGTGTTGATGGTTTTAAATCAATATCCAAATCTGGATTTCTGTGATCGTTTCTGAAATCATATTCTTCCAAAACTGGATAATCGATTTCTTGACATCTTCTTTTCACTAATTCAACAGATTCATTGGCAATTTCAAAGGAATGAACAGCGTCAATATCATCTTCATCTTCCTCAAGCTCATTGTCACCACCTACAACAGCAGTGAACATAGCTTCAACATCATTTGGGTTAACATTTTTTGATGCATCTGTTTTTGATTTCTGTTGCTGTTGCTGTTGCTGCTGCTGTTCTTGTTGTTGTTGTTTATCAGTATCAATACGTAATCTTCCAATTACTGTATCTTTTAAAAGCATTTGTAAAATGTCCGCTTGTGTTGTTTCAACGAAGTACCTATTATGTTTAATAACCAACTTCACTTTACCATACGAAACTGTCGCACTTCTAATGAAATTAACAATAGAAGGAGCAACTGGAACCTTTGATAATCTATCCAAAACAGATAGAATATCATCAGTTTCTAAACCAACGGAAACTGCAGCATATAATGAGTATGCTGTAATTCTATATTCGTGAATGTGGGAAGGTCTACTAACAGGTTCTGCAATAGTAACCAAGAAATCTTGAGCTTGTTCAGCTAAAGGAGAAAAACTTTCTAAAATAATCCTACCATCACTTGGTGAAATCCAAATAGGTCTCGAAGCATGATCAGGACGTAATTTTAAATAACTAAAATCATGACTTTTGAACATACTGGTAACTACATCTGGATTAAAATCGGCAGGAATATCATTATTACCACCATAAAGAAAATTCTGATCCTTTGCTGCAAGCTGACTTAAAGTTCCTGATGCTGCATTTCTCTTTGATTTAGTCTTTCTCCCACTAGAAGCAGGTTTAGTTAATCTGATAGTAGATTTTGTAGTTGAAGCTGAGGGATCATCATAAACAAACACATCGTCGCCATCGATTACATTATTATCGTCGTTATTCTTCTCTGGTTCTTCAAATTCACCATCATCTGTAGCTGGTGATTCATCATCAGAGAAGAACGACTGGCTCATAGCAGGAAAACTCCTGACTTTGGTCTTTGTTGGCAAACCTTCATCATCAACACTAGTCATTTGGTACCGATACAAGCTTGGGTTGACTAGTAAACTGTTATTCGATAAACTAGGATCGAATACTCTCCTTTTATCTTTAAATAAGTTAAATCAAATTGTTCATTATTAATTTAACCTTTCCAGTTTAATATTCTTAATAAGTAATAAATTTCAAAGGATGGAAATGTAATTTCGATATCGATCGTACAAAACGACCAAGCTCATTAGTAATAATAAGAACACTTTAAGGAAGGTGAGGTGAATATGAAGATGAAGCATAACAATTCAAAAGATATAAAACTATTTAAATATATTAACATGATGTACCATTCTTGAGCACACTGTTTTGTTTTATACGTCAATCGATTACAGTGATGTTCTCATTCCATGAAGTTACAACAGTTGCATACACATATTGGGAATTGGGCATACCTAAAAAAAACGTTGGTTAAAAAGTAATAAAAAGGAAGTAAGAAGAGAATCAGGGAGCATGCCAACTAATATCTTCAATCAATTAAGAAACTTATCTTGAATTAAAACTTTTACTTGTGATTAAAGTTTTGCTAAAACAGGTTTACCATTTTTAACTCTATTTCTTTCTGTTTCTTTGTAGATTTCCTCAAATATTTCCTCTCTTCTTGCAACACTTTTATTTGAATTATCGTAATTTTTCGATTGATACTCTTTAGCAAACTTTGTAAAATGAACTGATAACCTTTTCAACATTTCGTCTGGCATTTCAATGTTCATTAAATGATCACCTTGTGGTACAACATCAACGGTATAGTTTGGAATCGATTTTTGCAATACCTGTTGATTTTCCTTTGGTGCCCAAGTAGCGATACCTCCAACTAGACTAACTACAGGAACCTTAATGTGTTTTGCACCATCTAGTAACCAGTATGAAGTCGGATGTAATGTCATGTAACATAACATTTCTTGTCTTCTCTCCATTTTGGTTCTGATGGAGCCATCCTCCATATTTATTCTTTCAGTTTCTTTAAATCTTTCAAAAATTTCAGGATGTGTCTTGGTAAAAAAGCTCCTTTCATGCATAAATTTATCATACTCTGCTTCATTTTTGAACTCATCTTCAACCTTTGAGGCAATAGCCTTGAAGAACTTTGGTGGTAAGACAGTAACATTGGAATTATTTGGCACATTTGGAGAGTAAGCTACTGGTTCAATGGTGACAATAAAATCAAATAAACTTGGCAATAAAACACCACAACACATGGCTTGGAATCCACCCATCGAATGCCCGACTACAATATTAATAATATCATCAGAATTATCTTCTAATCCAGAATAGAATTCTTTTTGGGCAACTTTACAGGCATCTCTAGCACCATCTGACCAATCATAACCTACCCCCAATTTCCCACGATTTAAAACCGAAGAGTCACCGTGGGTAACTTGATCCAAAGTAACAATTTTATTAATCGCAGCTCCTAATTTATAATCCAAAAGATGTGCAACATAGTAATCCCAAATAAATCTATTCATACCACTTCCATGCAAAAACATCAAATTCATTTTAACACCTTCATCATTTAACCTATCACCAGTATAGGTGAAAACATCATATACACATTGTAATCTATCCGAATGGACAATAGTCGAATCCCTATACGTTCTAGGATATACTGCATCAATAATTTTAGTTTCTCTCTGATAATTATCTCTAATAATTTTATCCATCATGCTCCTAATATTCAATTCAAACCTTTAACCTCACTAACTTGTTGTATATAGATCACCTGATTTTAAGCTTTTACTCCTTGTTCTTAGGAGAAGAAGTAAAAAATGTGAAATAAAATCAAACAAAACAAATTAGAACAATAACAACCAGAAGCAATAACAACCAACAGAGATCCAAAACTAAATAACAACTCCAGGATAACCACAACAAAACTGTTTTTAACCTCCTTTAAATACCTTTAAATCATCATCATCGCCATCGATTTGTAGTCATCATTCATCAATTTCTAAATTTCGGACCTTATACTAAGTATGACGGTTTTAATCGCATTTAATCCGAAGTGTATAAAATATTAATACAAAACGACAAATGAGCAAAAGCATAAAGTTTAACAAGAACAGTTCCTTTATGAATTTATTAAAAGGATATGTTTTGTTGGAGATCTAATGGCATGGCAACCATTTGGATATACTTTTGTAAAATTTGTTTATAATTCGGACCAGTAACGGTAATATTAATAATAATACAAAGAGTTAAAAATGTTGGTGGACGTATAATACCAAATCAACCAAAATAACTTTTATTCGAATTAGTTATTACAATAGATAAAACATTATATATAAAAGTTAATGGCCAGAAATTGATTTGTTAAATTTTTTTCTTTGGGATTATTCATGTGTTTGTTTGTAAATGTCCTTAATCCTTCGTTAAATGGATACATAAATATAGTTATATGGGTAAAAGTTCATGAGATTGGAATTACGTGTGAAGTTTTCTTTAAATTTTTTGAATTGTAAAAGTGATTAGTTTAATATTTAACTGTCTGATACTTCAATATCAGTGTCAATATCTGAATGCCTTGATTCTTTGTCCTTATAATTCGTGATTTGTGAAACGGAAGAATGTGTCCTTTTCATCGAATTATCTTCTTTGTTATCATTTTCGATACTTTCATTGGTGAGAAGTACTGGTGTTGATAATTTTTCTGTTGGCGAATTTGTATTTGAATGTAATTTAAATACTGGTGGTGGTTTCATCGCATTTTCTAAATTTGTAAAACTTGACTTTTTTGGGGATGAAAGAGACATCAATGTTTCAATAGCTTCTTCTTCTGTGGGTTGGTCCTTTCTAGGTGAGTTTCTATTTTGCCATTTTAATGGCGATACATTCAGTCGTTCAGATGCTTGCTTTTGGGGACTTGATATTGCCTTCAAAAATGCTAGATGTGCAGACGTCGAGTTCTCCGCTGGCAAATTTTTCGAAGTAGTATCAATTGATAATTTACTCTCTGGCACTTTCTTTTTCTTTTTATCTTCTTTATCATTTCTTGAGTCATTTTTTGCTTTATTGTTCCCGTTACCATTCCCAAATTCTGCCATTGGCATAACAGCGTTAGAGTCATAATCATCATTTGCATATATATTACTATACGTACTCATTCTTCTCTGGGATTCTGTAAGCTTTGTTGTATCCATATTTGATTGTTGATGCTGATTCTGTTCACCGTCTAATTCTATCTCTAATTCGGGTAATGTTTTATCAACCCAACCGTTTTGTAGTTTGACTAAGGCATAGTTTAATCTTGTCTTTAGATTATTCGATATTTCACGAATTGGTTTAGCTTGTTCTTTATAGACACCTGGTGATTTTAATTTTGGCGAAGGTGAAAGGAACACTTCGGTATTTCTTGATTTTGGAGTTGTTGGAGGTAATAATCTTGTCTTGCCATTAGGAGAATTTGGAGCTAAAAATGCATTCATATTCTGATATTGAGATTCCCCTACAAAATCATTACTAACCCGTCTATCGCTCTTATTAGGCAAAGGAGTAGATAGGTACCCCAAAGATGTTGAGGACCTCCTTACCCCAGTACTAAATTCTCCATGTAAGGACTGATTCTTGGGAGAAGGAGTTTGAACAGGAGATTGCAATTTATCTTGACCTTCCGCTTCTCCAACCTCGTAATCATCATCCCCAGAGCCTATATAATGTCTTCTTGAACCGCTTCTTTTCGGAGTCGTTGCTTCCATTCTAAAAATATTAACCAAAAGGCTTTTTATACGTTTTATTCCTATTATTCTTACCTACTTCTAAAATTTCAAGAGAATAAATAATTAAATCCCAAAATAAAATTGAACAGAAAAAGTTTTTCCTTCTATACCCTCTGCTCTGTCTTTGAAGTTCTTCAATTGCCTTGGTAAAAACAGATAAATATATATACAACTTTAATAACAATAGCTTCGAATCAATTCAAATAGTTCTACCAAACTATATGATGCAATTTAAAAATCCTTTATTAGTATCAAATCAAAAACCAAAACCAAATCAAAAAAAACCTAATAAAGTCTAAGTAAAGAACTAAAAGAGAATATATCAATAGCACTAGTAACTTGCCTTTTAGTAACAGTCACCAATGCCCAATTGTAATCAGAATTAGCCCTCTAACCAACTGAAACTTTAATATATTTCATTCCCTGATATTGTTGTATGTTTTATAAATTTGTTTCAATTTTATTTCCAGTTACCATTCTTAATTTCCTCACCAAAACAATAATACCTAAAATTTCCCGTTTCGTGTTATTGAGAATTATACTGAGGAGGAGAGTTTATCCGGGGTCACGTGCATTCAAGATATTTCAAATTAGGAATTACAATGACCTCTGGTTTGATTTAATTCAATTGAAATAACGATATGATTCTTTAGCAAGTGGTTTATATTTGTATTTTTATCCTTCAGTTTCTCTTTAATTCTCTTTTTTAAAATTTACTTTTAATCTTATTAGATATTATTATTACATAATTCGAAAAATTCAGCTCATATTAACCGAGATGATTTATATCAGCTATAGTTTTAGTTATATAATCTACATATATTGTAGAGGTTACCATGCAGATTGACTATCGCTTATATCACAGATATAAATGTCTTTCCTAAATGCAACTCTATTTATAATGATCAGAGCTGTAGGTGGAAATTGGAAAGTGTTATCCTTTTAGACAATTGGTATTTAATGTGATGGTCAATGTTAATTCTTAAATTCAAAAAAAAAAACAACTTTTCAGTTTTAGTATCCAAACTTTTATTGGTTTAGCTTTATGCAAAATTAATCAGTCTTGTTCTTCTCCTAGCGACTGTATTCTCCTTATTATCTGTGTCATTATTCGGCAATCCATCTCTAATTAATTCTTCTATATCATGCTCACCACAAAGTGGAACTTCTCCATTAAAGATAAGATAATCTTCTCTAATTGGATTTCTGCAAATGGTACAAACCAAGCATCGCGTATGAAACCTTTCAGTTTTATCATTTTCCAAACATTCACCTTCGATGAAATTACGGCAGATTTTACAAATACTGTTGTTTTTCTCATGGTAATGTTGTTGACAATATGGTTCATCATCTAAAATATAGCATGGTGTCTTTCTGTTGAAAATGATATCACATTCAACACACTGGAAACATTCACGATGCCATTGTCCTGATAATTCGTTTTCATTCTTGGAAAAAATACGTTTGCCAGTAATTTCTAATCCACATTTCCTACATGGACCTTCTCCTGGCAAATTTTTCTTCTTGTTAATGATAGAGCTTGAGTCGTCATCATCATCTTGGCCATTTTTAGTTTCTACTGGTTGTGTGACCTGAATTTCAGGCTGAGGTAATGATAAAGCTGATGGTGTGGTACCATATCGGCTAGGTTCTGGTTGTTTGAAGTTCATGAATTGAGGCGTGTTTAAAGAACTAACTGAAGATATTTCATCGCTGACAGCGATGGATTGCGATGAAATATTTGGATTAAAATCGAACTTTTCTGAATGCAAACTTTCTAAGCTTTTCAAGCTGTGTTTCACTTCAGGGTATCCTGATAGATAAGCGCTGGACTTCTTTACACGTGGTTCGTTCACTGATAATGAATTAGTTAGTTCTTCATTTGGTTTTAATTTTTCATCCAGCTCGTTGTTCCTTAGCATTGAAGTGTCATTCAACTGGGCAATTAGTTTTTCTACTTGGTCATTTGTATCAGAAGCGTTTGCCTGAGCAGGAAAGCTCTGTTGTTGTTGGTGTTGTTGTTGTTGGTGTTGTTGTTGTTGTTGTTGTTGTTGTTGCTGCTGCTGCTGCTGGGAGGATTGAGAGTATTTGTTCTGTTCCTGGTCCCAGGACTTCAGAGATCTTGTATTGCCGGAAACAATGGATGATCTCTTTTGAGCTTTGCTTTGAATTGATTTTGTTTCTGCACTGAAGATGCTTTCCGCTTCTAGTGATAGATTTAATTGAGGGTCAGCGATTGGAGATAAATCCATATTCAATTGTGGGTTTGCATCTAAATTAATTTTTTCATGTTCTTCGAGTTCAAATTGATTGATAAGAGGTACAGATACAGGGTCTTGACCACGTTGTTGTTGATGGTGATTTGATGGATGTGATGTGGTTGTGACTTGTGGGGCAGGAGAAGGAGAAGGAGAAGATGAAGCTGCAGCGAAGGGCACAGATGCAGGTATGGAATCTATAATATTCAAATCTTCACGAGATTTGTGGAATGAAGAGGTAGTATCATTTTCAGTCAACATCATGAAGCTCTTTTCTATGGGGTTCATTTCTTCGGCATTAGGCATTGCATTGTATTGATAGTTTGAGTTTGGTAAACTCACATTACTCCTACTGTTGTTATTACTATTATTTTGAATAGGGTTACTACGACTTTGTTCTATTTTGTGTAAGTTTTGGATCAAACTTTGTTGTTGTTGCTGCTGCGGTTGTGGTTGTGGTTGTGTTTCATGGGCTTGAATTATGTTTTGAGTATAATTACGAGCTTCATTTTGCTGTGATGGCTGTCTTACATTAGCGGTGGTGTTGTTGTTGGTGTTGTTGTTGTTATTGTATAGGACATCGAAGCCTGCTCTTTCCATAGCAGTCTTGTAGCGTACATTTGGGTTCAGTTTAGGGAATGGAGAGCCAAACATATGGTTAGACATCTGTGATATTCGCTGGAGAATTTGCCCTGGAGTATGGATCCTATTGTAGATATGCGATAAAGTGTATTTATTTAATTAGAAAGGTTTAATATACAAAGATCATAGAGGGAGATTTGATTTTGATTTTGATTTTGATTTTGATTTTGATTTTGATTTTATCAATTGTATTTTTGTCTAGATAGACTAGAATAGTTAAATATGAGGGGGAATTTTTCATTTGAGAGAAGAGAAGAGAAGAGACGAGACGAGACGCGTTTAAAAAATTAAATTTAACTTGGAAACCTGGCGACTTCTGTTGTACAATGGCTGGTTGGACGACGACGGAAAAACCTAAGGTTT